TTGTATATGAGCAACTGATGTTCTGTTCTGCAGTAGGCACCTGGCCTTGTTCTGACTGATAATATTGAGCTTTTCCATTGTCTCTTTCCACAGATGTAGTCAATGTGATTCCTGTGTATTCCATTTGGTGAGGTCCACACGTATAACTGCAGTTTATATTGTTGAAAAAAGGTATCTGCAATGAATAAATAGTCTTGCAAAATTCTATCGTGCAATCTTCGGCATTGTTTCCATCACCAAGGCCATATTTCCCAACCACCAATCCTTCTTTGTTTCCAACTTTCGCTTTCCAATCACTAGAATTATCAATGCATCTTTATTGCATGTTTGATCAATTTCAGGCCGCAGAAGTTGGTAAAAATCTCAATTTCTTCGTTTTTGGCATTAGCTGTTGGTGCATAAATCTGAATAACAGTCGTGTCAACTGGTTTTCCTAGTAGGTGTATGGATATTATCCTATCACCGACAGTATCGTACATCAGGATAGATCTTGAAATGTTCTTGACAATGAACGCAATGTCAGTATGGATTACACCTCAACATAAAGACAACAAAACTCCTCACAACTGGACCAATAAGCAACATCATGATAAATGGAGAAAAGACTGGTGTTGTCAAGGATTTCTTTTTACTTGGATCCACAATCAACACCCATGGAAGCAGCAGTCAAGAAATCAAACAACGTATTGCATTGGGCAAATCTGCTACAAAAGACCTCTTTAAGGTGTTGAAAAGCAAAGATGTCAGGTGAGCCTGACCCAAGCCATCATACTTTCAATTGTCTCATATGCATGCGAAAGCTGGAAAATGAATAAGGAAGACCGAAGGAGAATTGATACCTCTGAATTACGGTGTAGGTGAAGAATACTGACTATACCATAGACTGCTAGAAAAATGAACAAATCTGTCTTGGAAGAAGTACAGGTAGAATGCTCCTTAGAAATGAGGATGGCAACACTTCAGCTCATGTATTTTGGACATGTTATCAGGAGGGACCAGTCCCTGGAGGAGGACATCATGCTTGGTAAAGTAGAGGATCAGCAAAAGAGAGGAAGACCGTTAATGAAACGGACTGACACAGTGGCTGCAATGATAGTGTCTTAGGCTGAGTTCTCTAGAGAAGCAAAACCAGTAAGGCATATAAATATATATATAGAGAGAGAGAGAGAGATTTTTATCAAGGACACAGCTCACGCCATCGTAGAGGATGGAACGTCCCAAGTCCGTGGATCAGGATAGAGGCCTCTCCCAATTCACACAGCCACAGGGGCTGGCCAACCCAAGATCGGCAGGTCAGAGAGCAGGGCTCCAGCTCACAGGCTGTGAAGGTCAGTGAATCCCAAGATCAGCAGGCATGACCACAAGGCTTTTCCTGATTCACGTAGCTGCAGGGGCTGGCGAACCCAAGATCAGTAGGTCAGAGAGCAAGACTCTTGCTTGCATGCTGTGAAGATCGACAAATCCCAAGATCGGCAGGTAAGCTGCTAGGTCAAGTCCCAAGAACCGGAGGTCAGATGAACAAGAGGCAGCTGCAGAATCCAGAACAAGCCAAGAACCTTGGCAAGGCAAGCAGGGAGGAAGTAGGCGGTGGAGGGCAGAGAGATGAAGGCTGAGGGGGCAGTGAGCTGCCACAGGCCCCACCGGTATCACTCAGCAGATTCCATCATGGGGGTGATCAAATTTCAACAGGGAAGTGATCACAACATTACAGAACTGCCAAATCAGTGAGACTCATGGCCCATCCAAGTTGACACACAATCTTAACCATCACAGATGGGCTCAAGCATAGCAACAATTGTAAGGATGGTGCAGGACCAGGCAGTATTTCGTTCCATTGTACAAAGAGTCACTATGAGTCGGAACTAATAACAACAACAACAGTAGTGCTTACTTCATAAGGTGCTTGTAAAGACTGAATGAGATATTCAAATCAAGAGCACAGTACCTGGCACATAAACTACATTAGCTACTGATACTATTCCTAGTAATCTCTCCCATCTCATTTCCTTCATCTATAAAATAGAATAGGAACTTGGCGGGGTTAAAGAGACAGTAAAGCCCCTGGCAAGGTGCTGGCCCACAGGACAGTCTCAATAATTGAATATCATTGGTATTAGATTCCCAATAAGCAAAGGACAGTAGAAAATGCTCCCAGCTGTGGCAGGAAGAGCAGATATGTGAGTTCAGTGACATTTCCGGGCTCTGGCTGAAAGCCAGACCTGAAATCACTATGGAAAAGTTTAAATGACCTACAAAACACTCCAGGGTCATTCCAGTGTCTACATCAGCACCCAGGTAACCCAGGAGAGGGACCTGGGCTGGGTCCACGCCCTTACAAGGGGCAGCGGCCACTCACCTCCAGCCTGGTGTTTACTGGCAGGAATGAGGAGACAGCTCTTCTCTTCTTTCCAAAGAAGTCAGAAAGCCAAATATTTAACTGGATGGTCTCAATTCTGAAACGTTAGCAACTAATTCAGAAATGTTGGAAACACGGAGCCGATTTCACAAATGCTGTTCAGGCGGCCTGTAGACCAGCAGTTCACAACTTCTGATTTAAGGGTTCTCTGTACACTAACATTCATCTAATCCCTACTGGCAATCTCTTCTTGAAAATTCTCGAGAATTTTGATGAAGAAAGAAAAAAACCAAGAATATTTCTACCCAGAGCTAAGACCATGGCTCCCTAAACACCTCAGAGAACTTGTGTGTCTTTGGGTATCTCTGGGAATTAGGTTGGCAATTTCTCTCCATAATTTTAAGTCACTTCTAGTGGCCCTTCTACCCCAAACATCTTTAAACTAACATGTACACTTCATGCTCACTATGTACCAGCCACTGTTTTAAACATTTTACATAGACTATCTCATGTAATCCTCATGACACCCAGTGAGAGCTTTACAGATGGGGAAACTGAGGGACAGAGAGGTCAAGGAACTCACACAAGGTCACAGAGCTAGTATGTGACAGAGGCGGGAGGTGGGCCCAGGCAGATGGTTCACAGTTGGTGCTGGTAACCAGCACTTCAGACTGCCTCCCACCTGGCCACAGGCTCTCAGGAGTCCAGGTCCTCTGTGCTGCAGGCCACTTCCTCCAGGCAAAAGCCACCTTCACCTTCCCTGTACACATGTGACTCTGCACATACTCACAGAAGTCAGAAACCAGCCAGGGCCAGATCTCCCCTGAGCCATTCAGGGCATCCCAAGAGCCAAGTGCCTCAGCCCCGTGGCTGGGGCCCCACTGGTAACCACACACCAGAGCCAGACTCTAGGACCAAGTCTCCTGTCCTCCTTGCCCACCTTGCATGGCAGCCACAAGATTGAGCTGGCAGTGCCACCTGCAGACAGTCTGCCTCCAGTGGGCTGCCTCAGAGCCAGTACTGAGGCCTGAGCGCTGTCTTGGTGCTAAGCCAGTCCCAGAATCCTCCCCACTCCCCCACAACTACAATCCACCAGGTCTTCTCTCACCTGGAGAGGCCAACTGAGTAACTGGAAATTGCCAAATGAAGCTTTGCTCTCACTCCAGAATATATTCCTGGCCTGCAGTAATACACACACACACACACATACACACACACACACACACACCCACACACACCCTGCAATCAGCTCCCAGCAGCATAAGGCACGTGAGGTGACTGAGTGGTACAGACCCCAGCACATCCCTGGCTGAGAGAAATTCAAACCCAAGCCAGGCGCTCTCAGGACCCCCTGAGACAGCCTCAAAGGGCCGTCCAAACCACCAGAGCGCTGTAAGAGCCACGGCATCTTCCCCCAAGCCACAGGGATATTGAGAAGATTAATTAGACAAACCTGGCAGCACTCAGGGCTCCCTAAGGACCTGGATGAATACATCATCCCCATCACAAAACTCTTAAGAAGTGTGCCTCCAGCTGGGTCTTTGTTCACACTGCACAGGACAACTGAGTCAGACAGGCTGGGCCACCCGCAGTCCCCACATCTTGGCCAGAAAGCACTGGCAGCACACCAGTGGTCAGCTCACTACCTGTCTGTAGGGTCAGGCCACCCAGCCTCTGGCCTCTGTACCAACCACAGTCAGTCACAATGTGTGGACTGGACAGCAGGTGGCAGAAAGGAGAGAAGCTGCCTGCTTCAAATGGGCCCCTTCTTGCCATAGCCCTTTAGAAGTCCAGTTTAAAGTGCCCTCCTCCTCCAGGAAGCCTTCCGGGCCCTGCTGGCTTGCACTGACCTCTCCCACCTCTGAAAAGCTGTTATTCATCCCCAGCATTTACCATGTGCTGTCTTGTTTGGGGATGACATTGTAAAATATAATTTATTAAGCATTTGGGATGTACCAGGTGCTATGTTAACTGCTTTACAGAAATCATTTGACTTAATCCTCAAGGTAACTCTATAACATGGATGTGATTAAACCCATTTTACAGATGAGGAGATGGCAGCTTGGGCAGGTCAAGTAATACATGTGTCCTGCCTCTCAGTCAGTTTTCTTTCCATGGGGCTGCATTCTCTCACACAGATGACAAGCTCCATCATGGCAACAAAGATAGTATTTGCACTCTCTTCTGCCCCAAGTCCCTGGGCACATCGTCAAACACTGGATGACTGACTGTTTCAGGGGCTGCCACATGTATCAACCAATTAGCCTTAATTAACCCAGGTGTGGTATTAATGAACAAAAGCATGGCTGGCCACGTGGCCAACTGACCACATGATATGAACCCGAGTATAGCTGTGCAGTACCTTATTCAAAAAAGTCCCAGCTTACATTGCATGTTAATTACCAGGAAACGTTACTGAAATGCTTTTCCTTCATATCCTTCAGTGATAACTCAAGAACTGAGGTTCTGAAGAAACAACATGTTCCTGGGCTTAAAACTGCCCAATGTGTGCAGTGGGGCTGACCCAGAGTTAATCACTAGCCAAGGGCACGGGTCAAACGGCAGGCTCCAGGGAGACTTGCCTGGCTCCACACAACGTGACGTGGGGGAGAATCCTTCCCCAGAGAGAAAGCACGGGCCTCACCTTTGGTAGCGTAGGCCTCTGCAATCATCCGCAACCTGTAGGGGGGGATGGCCGTCAGTGGCAAGTCATCGAGGCCCACCCGGGCATAGATGTTGAGTGCTTCTTTACAATCTCCTTCCACATAATTCAACTTGGCCATGATCAGATTGGATTCTTGTAGGAATTCTGACTAGAAGGAAAAGGAGAGAAAAAACCATTTTCCTACACTATTACATGTGATTCTTACACAAGGCACAGCCATCTGCTGCTGAAAAACCCCAGAGCTCTCCACACAAAAACGTGTGCGCGAGGGTTCACGGCAGCGCTGCTCTTAATAGCCAAAGAGTGGAAACAACCGGTGAACGGCTGAATAAAACGTGGTCTATCCACACAATGGAGTATTAGCCATAATAAGAAATGAAGTGCTGGTACATGCTACAACATGGATGAATCTACATAAAAGAAGCCAGTCACAGAAGACCATATATTGTATGACTCCACTGGTATGACATGTCCAGAACAGGCAAATCCATAAAGACAGAAAGCAGATTTGTGATTGCCAGGGATTAGGGGACACTGGGAGGATACAGGGTTTCTTTTTGGAGTGATGAAAATGTTCTAAAATTGCCTGTGGTGATGGTTACACAAGTCTGTGAATATATGAAAAACCGTTGAATTGTACACTTTAAATGGGGGAAATGCATGGCATGTGAATTATATCTCAATACGGCTGTTACAAAACAAAAACCCTGCCGCTTTCTTCAGGCCCCTTGGCTGAGCTGGGCCAAGGATGGAAGAAAGGCTTCCTAACTAAAATGTACAAATATTCACCTCAAAAAGAGAAAGCTGCCACTGACCATGCTGGGGGGTGCTGCCTACTGCCCTGGGGGTGCCCCGCAAGGCTGTAGTCCAAATAACCCAAGGAGAGAGGCCTTTCTAAATTGGTGCAAATATCAGGAGGTGCTTTATTTCGGAGCTGTTGCAGCCTGTTAAGCTGAGGTTACTGAGCTCTGGTCCCCTCCCCAGAGGCCCAGGCTGTACCAGTCCTCTGACGGCTCTCCTCCCTCTCATCTCCAGTCAGGAGCCGTCTGCTTCCCCAGCCCACCCTCACCAGCCTCAGCCTCTGCCCTTCTCCCTCCCCCAGCCCTTCTCAGCTGGAGAAAGAAGAGTGGATGCAGCCATCTATATAAGGAAACAGATATATCACCCTGACTCGGGCCTGCTCCTTGAAACTGAGGCTATTCAAGGCTACATCTTCCAGCTTCCAGAAGCAAGCATGAAGCTGCACTACTCTGCAATCTACAGCTTTGGCAGGGAGGGGGAAAAGGCCAGGTGACCAGCGAGAGCATGGCAAAGCAGCGGTTTCAGCCAAGGTGGTCGGCTTCTGAGCATTTCCTGAAAGGGAGCAGGGGCAAGAGGCACCACTGGAGAGGATGGTGAAATGGACAGAGAGGACCAAAGGGAGAAAAAGGTTTTATACACTTTGGCCATGATCAGAGGATCAAGCTACCCAGAGGCTCGAGGGCAAGGAACCAATGCAAGAAATTAGAATTCTATTTGGAAGCAGAGAAATCAAAGCAGACTTAAGAAGAGGTATGAAAAACAGCACCCACCACAAGCGTTCTCTGCCAGGATTGGGGACAAGCCAGCCTTGGGTATTTGGAAAAGGCTTCATAGGAGATTCTGCTGCATCTTCTCTGCTTCCCCAAGCTCTCCAGCATCTGAGAACCACTGGCTTAAAAGCAAACTGAAGGGTCAGATGGAAAATAAGCAGGAGCTTGAAGAAAATGAGAAGTCTAGAGGCACAGAACAGGTGCACTTGGAGAACCTGGCTACGTGAGTCCAATTACAGCATCATTCAGGGAAGAAAACTGCTTGGCGAAGGCCCCTGGGCTGCCTGCGCTGTGGGGGGGTTGCACCAACATGGTGCCCACAGCTGCCTTGCCCATGAGAAGCATGATTTTCTTGACTTGAATCAGAAACCAGGTCACCTGACTCCTAGTCCGGGGTTCTTTCTCCCACGCCACACCGCTAGCTTACTCTGGTCTGTCCAGCTCAATTCATTTGTGTTTTGTGGGCACCTATGTTTGCATGGGGCTTTAGCAAGCTCCCAGCTGGGAGACATGTTGGACCTAAGGTCAAGAAAAGAGGACACCTGTTCTGCCTCCTAGTTCATTGTATAGTGCTTGGGGTACTGAAAGCTTGCAAATGGCCATCCAAGGCACAACAATTGGTCTCTACTTGCCTGGAACAACAGAAGAAGAAGGAGAGTCAGGAACAAGAGGAGGAAATGGAATGTGTGGCTAATCGCCTCCATGAACAACTGCCTCCTGTGCCATGAGACCAGAACTGGATGGTGCCTGGTTACTATAACTGAACATTTTTATCAAGATTCTATAAAAGAATCCTGATCAAAAGAGGGAAAATATAGAACAGAATTTCAAATTCTCATAAACTCCAGACCTCCTGGAGCCATGAAGGTTGGCTGAATCCCTGAAACTACTGCCCTCAGATAATCTTTAAACCTTAAACCAAAATATTCCCTGAAGTCTTAAAACTAACAATAGTTTAGCTTAACTAGTGAAAAAAAGTCTGCCTTGAGCATTATGCTCTTTTAAGAACTATCTAAATGGGATCAAATTGACAACAGCAACTCAGAAGATTAGATAGGAACCTTAGGAGCAGAGTTTATGTGAACGGAGGGAGGAAAAACTCAGAAAAGGAAGGTGAGAATTGTTGCACAACTAGAAGGATGTATTCAATATCATTAAATGGTAACATGTAGAAACTATTGAACTGGTGTATGTTTTGCTGTATATATTCTGAACAATGACAACAAAATGAAAAACGTTTGAGAAAAAAAGAGGACATCTCATATTAACTCATATGAGTGGGGTGGTACACTCATGCAAAAGCTGTGCGACTCTGGAACCATTTTTATGAGGAAACTAAGAAATGGCAACAGGAGACACATTCCCTAGGTAGAACCAGTTAAAAAAAAAAAAAGAAATGACACAGATCTAGTACTGTATAGTTTTGAAGGGACTTCCATACTGGAGCCTCAGAACAACCCTGAGCTAAGCAGACTCATAGATGAGAAGCAGGAAGTTCAGAGCGGGTAAGTAACTTCCCAAGGTCACACAGCTTAGAAGCCCAAAACTAGACTCGAACTCAGCAATGCTAACTTTAAATTCAATGTTCTTTGCACGGCACTGAGTTAGAGTGGATGACGAACAAAAGGGGTGAAGAAATGAAATCTATCAGCATCTGGAGAAAGAAAAGTTTCATTTTTCAAGATGAAGGTAACAGGGTGAGAAGTCGGAAAGAAACTAGCTAGACGACAGGCCTGGAGCAGTGATCTTCAACCTTTCTCCCCTTCACACAGTCACACCTGCACAGCAGGACACCTGCGTTTGCCTGTCCATCACTGGGAGCTGTGACCCTATGTGCCCACTGTACCTCCACCCACTACAGCCGATCAAGACCCACCAGTGTCGTCAGAACCCCCCTGTGGTGCGATAGATCACTTCTGTGTGGCCTTTCTCAAGGGGATTGGTCAGATTTGCCATCCAGCTGGGCTTGAAATGAGCCATCCAAGAGGCAGGAAAGAGAGGATCCCACCACCACCAAGGAAGAACAACCAGGAGCAGAAAGCGTGTCCTTTGGACCTGGGATCCCTGCATTGAGAAGCTCCTGGACTCAGGAGACAGAAAGCGAGCCGTAACCCTGCAGACAGCGAAAAGTGGTAGCAGGAGAGATCAGCAGGAGACTGTGCAGTGGGCTTCCCAGCCCACAGAGTGAGGAAAGCTGAGTGCCTTTGGTCCAAGGCTTACTGGCAGAGTAGGGTGCCTCTGGGCACTTACTGGCAGGGGCTAAAAGAGCTTTGCAACACTCAACCTCAGCAAAGCAGAGGCCTAGGGCCAGAGAGTGATATGCCTGCAAGCACAGCTGAAAAGAGGCTGTCCTAATGGAAGAACTGTATCCTGAGTGTTCCTGAGCCTAATGTAACCTGTTACTTCGCTAATAACCCCATAATTGTGAGTATGGTCTGCGAGTTCTATGTGGCCATTGCAATGAATTATCGAACCAAGCAGAGAAGTAGAGAGTGCCGTGAGAGGGATGGTTAGTGTCAGAAATGGTAAAGATGGCAGAGAGAGGAGGCGTGTCTGACCTCTGCCTCACAGGAATCAGCCTTGGGCTGCTGATCTTAATTCTCCTTCTCCCTTGTGAACAGAGAGGAGGTCAGATGCCACCCCACTTCATTTTTTTTTTTTTTTAACGCCCCTTGGTTAAGAACAGTTGATATGGAGACAACTGTTCCCCACCTTGGAACAAAGTTGTGACACAGCCCTTTGAAAGAAAGGCAGCAGGAAAGGGGAGAAGACTTGGTTTTTAAAGCCCCAAATGCAGCACCACCTCCCTAAGACCCTGGGCTTCCTCTGTTAAAGAGATACTGTCAAGCTGACCTCTCAGGGACCTGGAGCTGTGTCCAGTGGAGACAGACATACACAGAGCCCACTGTGAAAGGCGGCTCTCTGTCAGGGTTTCCAGAAGCCTATGGCTATATAACTGACAGCCACTAAACGAAAAAATACCAAACCCATTGCCATCAAGTCAATTCTGACTCATGGTGACCCCAAGTCCCTGGGTGGCACAAACAGTTTGCTCATGACTACTAACCTAAAGGTTGGTGGTCTGAACCCACAAAGCAGCACCAGGGAAAAAGGCCTGGAGATCTGCTTCAGTAGAGTTTACAGCCAAGAAAACCCTATGGAGCAGTTCTGCTCTGTAGCATAGCACGTGGGGTTGTCATGACAGTCACTAAACCAAAACACCAAACCTACTGCTGTCGAGTTGATTCCAACTCATAGCCACCCTATAGGACAGAGCAGAGCTGCCCCATAGGGTTTCCAAAGAGCAGCTGGTGGATTCATACTGCTGACCTTTTTTGTTAGCAGCTGAGCTCTTAACTACTGTGCCACCAGGGCTCCAAGATAGATACTAACTTATTCAAATGTTGCCTAAGCTCCCAGTTGTGATAGGGCCAGGGAGGTGGCCAGATGACAAAGAGGAAGGATGTCTCAAAATGAAAGCTCACATGCGGGTACTGGGAGGGTCCGCGCTCAGCCCTCTAATAACCCACCCCATTCAAACCTATAGAAACTGAGTTCCAGAGAGGGAAGTGACTGCCCCAGGGTCACACAGCAAACTGGGAGCTGGTGCGGGTTTCCAATACAGAGATGAGAGGTAAAGCCAAAGAAAAGATGGCATCTCTGGGGAAATATGCACAAACAGATGACAGGACCAAAGAAATAGCCCCAGAGGATTCTGATATGGGAAGAGAAGAAAAACGAGAGAGAAGTCATCAAGATTAAAAGGAAAAAGAAGTCAGGGTGTCAAAAGTTCATCAAAGAATGGTTAAAACGGCACGCTTTTTGTTATATATATTTCATCACAATAAAATTTTTAAAAAAAACAGCAAACCAAAGACTGCCCATCCTCAGTAGGAGATACATATGGGGAGACAAAGGACCCCAGAGAAGATGACCAGGAAGTGGCTGGGATGCCATCAGCTACCTGAATGACAGTGACTTTGAGAAGGCAGTAAGAGCAGGACTTCAGGGGTCAGAAGCGTCTAGAGTCAAGTAAGCTTGAGTTAGCTGGGGTGGGGAGGAGGGGACAGGGCAAGCAAAGGAGACACCGCTCTGGGGCAAAGCAAAAGGAAATGAAAAAGAAGCAAGAAAGGAAAGACGTGAGAGGGGAAGGAAAAGCTGAGTATCAGTGAGACTAGAGTATAGAATAGATAAATAGAAGGGCGGTGGGGAAGGTTTCCTGTGCCATGAGCATTAGGGTCGAGGCTCAGACAGAGGGAAGGTCCCTGCTGGGTTCCCTCCTACACTGAGGTGCCAGGCCAGCCGTCACCAGTATGAATACCCTACACGATTCTGGGCCAGAGCAGCCTGGTACACTGCTGAGCTGCATGTTACAGGCAGGAAATTGCATGTTAAGTGACGCTTCTTTACTTCTACTGAGGGAGAAAGTGTTGGGTTAAGCTCTGAGCCAAATGCCTCGAGCACCTGGGAAAGATTAGTGTCATTTTTCAGGATAATGTGTCACTGGAGACGCTCATCAGAGAAACCCCATTGGACCTGAAGCTCCCTCAGGTGGTCACCCAGCAAGCTGGCCTGCTCCTAACAAACTACGGCAAAGTGCAGATGCCCTCAAGCGCCCCCAGCTGGCCCTTGGGCATCCTTCCACGCTGTAATGGGAAGATGGATGGCAACCACACACTGGCCTGAGAAGGAGGGTGCTAGCATCTTCCCCTTTGCCCACCCCCGCCAAGAGGGCCACGGTACCTTGAGGTTCCCTCGATCCAGGGCAGCGGTCAGATGCTTTCGGACCTCGGTCAGCTGGGGCCTGGGGCCTCGGGGACTGGCCCCCTGCCGCAGAGGGTGTTCCTTCAAGTACTGCTCCAGCTTCGACTCCCCAAGGAGGAGTTCTGCCATGTCATCTACAAAAAACAAAGTAAGAAGATAAACAGGGGCAAGGGTTGGTCTGTGTGCTAGGAACCCCTTCCCCCAAGGACCTCAGGACCACCACACCCTAAGGCTCCAGACCCCCAGCAAGGCCCTCCTGGAACTTCATAGCCGTACATGGGATCCAAGCAGGCACCATCTTACATGAATTCTACTGATTAGTAAAGACTGTTCTAGTCGAAATGGGCAGCTCCTGTCCGGAGGTGAGAAGAGAAGGCAGAGAGGGTCAGGAGTTGGTTGAATGGACACGGGAAATCCGGGGTAGAAAGAAGGAGTGTGTTGTCACAGTATAGGGAAAGCAACTAGGATCACATAACAATGTATGCATAAATTTTTGTATGAGACTAACTTGAACTGTAAACTTTCACTTAAAGCACAACAATTTAAAAAAAAAAAAAAGTTCTAGTCGCATGTACTCCAACAGCTGTCGGCTCAAGCATTCAGTCATTTCTGCCACACATTTACTGAATGGATACACATTAACATAGAGAGAGCTCAAGTTCAGTAGAAAAAAAGAAAACTGTCTTATGATATAGTCAGTATGATCTTTACAAAATACACACAAAACCTTAAACTATGTATTTTCTAAGAGTGGACTTTGGTGTTGTATGCCCTCATACATGGAGATGAGCTAGTAGAATGTCCATACAGTCAGATTCTTAGGATGTTTCTAACTATAAAACCCAGTTGCTGTCCAGTGGACTCTGACTCATGGTGACCCCATGTGTGTCAGAGTAGAACTGTGCTCCATGGAGTTTTCAGTGGCTGATTTTTTGGAAGCAGATCACCAGGCTTTTCTTCCGATGTGCCTCTGGGTGGACTTGAACCTCCAATCTTACAGTTAATAGCCAAGCACATTAACCATTTGTACCACCCAGGGACTCTGTTTCTAACTATACCAACACTAATATCTGGGAATGTTTGCATGTTTTTACTCCTAAAAGTACACTGCTTACACTTATAACTTTGCTGATGTCTATGTTGGCTTGTTAATTAGGAAAAAAAACTCACTCTAGGAGCAGCTCTTTGGAATCCATACGCCCAGACTGTTCTGAATAAGCCTAGAACAATTCATGCACCACGTACAGTCTACTTTTCTGTGATGGGACAGAATATAATTTTACTAAAATATAAAAACAGTTTCAAAAGGTCTTAAAGGATATACCTCACACCAATGATAGTAGTTAACTCTGGTGTGCAGGAGAGGGGACCTCAGCTGGGTTAGGTGCCAAAATGGACTTTAATTTTATCTTTAACATTCTGTCTTAGAAAGGAGAATAGAATTGTCTATTATTTGTGTAATTTAAGATTAACTCAAACCCGGACACTCTGTTAACCCAGAACTAAAACCATTCCCGAAGACTACTCTTCAGACAAAGATTAGACTGGACTATAAAACATAAAATAATACATGTGAAGAGGGTGCTTCTTAGCTCAAGCAGATACATGAGACCAAATGGGCGGCTCCTGTCTGCAGGCAGGATGAGAAGGCAGGAGGGACAGGAACTGGTTGAATGGACACAAGAAATTCAGGATGTAAAGGGGGAGTGTGCTGTCACATTATAGGGACAGCAATTAATGTCACATAACAATATGTATATAAATTTTTGTATGAGAAATTAACTTGAGCTGTAAACTTTCACCTAAAGCACAATTTAAAAAAAAATTAATTCAAAAAATAACCACTGAGAACCCATGGTAAGATTCTGGGTGGTAGGTTCATCAAAGGCTGAAAGCTGTAACTGGAGCCTTTGAAAGTCCTCCGAGCAGTCAAACCAAGGCTGCCAAACCCCTAGCGGTGGGTTCGAACTGTCAACCTTTCAGTTAGCACAGTTAGCAGCCTAGCACTTAACCACTAGGCAACCAGGACTCCTTTTTCACATTAAGTTTCCCAAATCCAGTGTGTATTTTACACTTACAGCACATCTCAGGTCGAACCTGCCATATTTCAAGTGGTCAAAAGCTACATGTGGCTAGTGGTTATCCTACTGGATAGGAGTATGATCACTGTATGTCTAACTACAAGAATGTCTAGAATGATTACCAGTTAGTGCAAACAATAGGAGTTTCTGAATAACAGGATTTGCAAGAATTTTAAATTCCCATCTTTGTAGTTTGAATGATTTATAATGAGCAGAATCATTCTGTTGATCTTGAGGGCCATCAAGTTGATTCCAACTCATAGTGACCCCATGTACAACAGAACAAAACACCGCCCGGTCCTGCACCATCCTCACAATCATTGCTCTGTTTGAGCCCATTGTTGCAGTCACTGTGACAATCCATCTCATTGAGGGTCTTCCTCTTTTTTAATGACTCTATTTTACCAAGCATGTGTCCTTCTCCAGGGCCTGGTCCCTCCTGATAACATGTCCAAATTATGTGAGACGAAGTCTCACCATCCTTGCTTCTAAGGAGCATTCTGGTTGTACTTCTTCCAAGACAAATTTGTTCATTCTTCCAGCAGTCCATGGTATATTCAATATGCTTTGCCAATACCACAATTCAAAGGCATCAATTCTCAGCAGATTTGCCCAATGCAATGCAACGTTTGATTTCTTGACTATTGCTTCCATGGGCGTTGATTGTGGATCCAAGTAAAATGAAATCCTTGACAACTTCAATCTTTTCTGTTTATCATAATGTTGCTTACTGGTCCAGCTGTGAGGATTTTTGTTTTATGTTGAGATGTAATCCATACTGAAGGCTGAGGTCTTTTACCTTCATCAGTAAGTGTTTCAAGTCCTCTGCACTTTCAGCAAGTAAGGTTGTGTCATCAGCATACCGCAGGTTGTTAATGAGCCCTCCTCCAATCCTGATGTCACATTCTTCTTCATACAGTCCAGCTTCTCGAATTATCTGCTCAGCATACAGACTGATTAAGTATGGTGAAAGGATACAACCCTGACGCACACCTTTCCTGACTTTAAACTACACAGTATCCCCTCGTTCTGTTCGAACGATTGCCTCTTGGTCTACGTACATGTTCCTCATGAGCACAATTAAGTGTTCTGGAAATCCTATTCTTTGAAATGTTATCCATAATTTGTTATGATCCACATAGTTGAATGCCTTTGCATAATCAATAAAACACAGGTAAACATCTTCCTGGTATTCTCTGCTTTCAGCCATGATCCATCTGACATCAGCAAGGATATCCCTCCTTCCACATCCTCTTCTGAATCCAGCTTGAATTTCTGGCAGCTCCCTGTTGATGTACTGCTACAACTGCTTTTGAATGATATACAGCAAAATTTTACTTGCATGAGATATTAATGATGTTGGTCAGTAATTTCTGCATTCTGTTGGATCTCCTTTCTTTGGACTGGCACAAATATGGATCTCTTCTAATTGGTTGTCCAGATAGCTGTCTTCCAAATTTCTTGGCACAGGCAAGTGAGCGCTTCCAATGCTGCATCCATTTGTTGAAATATCTCAATTAGTATTCTGTCAATGTTTTTCACCAGTGCCTTCAGTGCAGCTTGGACTTTTTCCTTCAGTACCGTCGGTGCTTGATCATATGCTACCTCCTGAAATGGTTGAACATTGACCAATTCTTTTTGGTACAGTGACTCTGTGTATTCCTTCCATCTTCTTTTGAGGCTTCCTGCATCATTTAATATTTTCCTCATGAATCCTTCAATATTGCAATTCAGGGCTTGAATTTTTTCTTCAGTTCTTTAGGCTTGAGAAATGCCAAGCATGTTCTTCCCTTTTGGTTTTCTATCTCCAGGCTTTTGCACATTTCATTATAATACTTTACTTTGTCTTATCGAGCTGCCCTTTGAAATCTTCTGTTCAACTCTCTTACTTTATCATTTCTTCCTTTTGCTTTAGCCAGTCTACATTCAAGAGCAAGTTTCAGGGTCTCTTCTGACATCCATTTTGGTCTTTTCTTTCTTTCCCGTCTTTTTAATGACCTCTTGCTTTCTTCATGTTTGATGCCCTTCATATCATTCTACAACTTATCTGGTCTTTGATCATTAGCATTCAATGCGTCAAATCTATTTTTGAGATGGTCTCTAAATTCAGGTGGGATATACTCAAGGTCATACTTCACCTCTCGTAGACTTGTTCTAATTTTCTTCAACTTCAACTTGCATATGAGGAACTGATAGTCTGTTCCACAGTTGGCCCCTGACCTTGTTTCTGACTGATGATATTGAGCTTTTTCATCGTCTTTTTCCACAGTTGTAGTCAATTTGATTCCTGTGTATTCCATCTGGTGAGGTCCACGTGTATGAGTCGTCGTTTATATTGTTGAAAAAAGGTATTTGCAACAAGAAGTTGTTGGCATTGCAAAATTCTATCATGCGATCTCCAAAGTCATTTCTATCACCAAGGCCATATTTTCCAACTACCAACCCTTCTTCATTTCCAACTTTCACATTCCAATCACCAGTTATTATCAATGCATCTTGATTGCACATTTTATCAATTACAGTCTGCAGAAGTTGGTAAAAATCTTCAATTTCTTCATCTTTGGCCTTGGCCTTAGTGGTTGGTGAGTCAAGTTCAATAACAGTTGTACAAATTGGTCTTATTTGTAGGCATGTGGAAATTATCCTATCACTGACAGCACTGTACTTCAGGATAGATCTTGAAATGTTCTTTTTGATCATGAACATGATGCCATTCCTCTTCAATCTGTCATTCCCGGCATAGTAGAACATATGACAGTCCAATTCAAAATGGGCAATACCAGTCCATTTCAACTCACTAATGCCTAGGATATCGATCTTCATGCATTCCATTTCACTTTTGACGACTTCCAATTTTCCTAGATTCATACTTCATACATTCCACATTCCGATTATTAATGGATGTTTGTAGTTGTTTCTTCTTATTTTGAGTCATGCCACATCAACAAATGAAGGTCCCGAAAGCTTGACTCCATCCACATCAGTAAGGTCAACTCTACTTTGAGGAGGCAGCTCTTCCCCAGTCTTATCTGGAGTGCCTTCCAACCTGA